ACAAATATTCCACAAACTTATTCAATTTAATGAGCAATTATTCAATTGTCAACCTTCCCACCGACTAAACTGAATAATTTCCATCCTCCTGCAGGCAAAGTCATGATACATCTACTTCCAGCTATGTTCCTTGATCACATAATTAATTATACAAATTGTCGTGAGACCCCAGCAATGGGAAAAAATAAAAAAATAATGTACAAATTGTCTAGTTCAATCATCATACAAATTGAGTTCAACCTTATCTTTTAAGGAAAAGAGCACTCGACTGATGGATGTGTGTGTGTGTGTGTGTGATTTTTTTTTTTTAAATTAGAAGACATGTACTAACAGCTTAAAACTATAAGATTAAACTATATCGTGCACCCTCCTAGTCATAGAAAAACTTATATGTCATTAGACTATAAGGCGATTGACATGATCCTTCATGAGTAGATTGATTTTTAAGTTTGTTTTTTTAAATCTTTTTCTAAAATATGATGAGTATATTTCATATCTTAGAGCAACAACTTTACACACACTAATCCATTCAATAAAAATAAGAAAAAACTCTTTTGTAGGTGCGTATAATTTTTTTCAATTTAATTGGCGATTTATAACCTTTTTTCCTCTTGAATAAATCATTTAACTTTACTCTATTAACATTGTTAGCTCCTATGATTTCGCTCTGTCAGTCGTTATGCAGAAGTTAACAGTGCTGAAAAAACAAAATTAAAAGATCTAATTAAGAGAAAAAAATAGATATTAAATTTAAAAATAAAAAATATAGATTCTCTTAAAATGGTTGTCCCTAAAAATAAACAAAGAGTTTAAAGGTGTCAGATTAGAAGAACCTTTTTCTTCTCGTCAATCAACCATTTCTTCGATCTCCTCACCAGACTTTAATTTGTCACGCCACTAACACCACTTCTCCGCTCCATGCATGGGAGAACCCGTCTTGGGATTTAAATTCTTTCAAATTGAGAGATCATTAAACTTTGAATTGTTTATACTGCCTCCATCCTTTTTTTTTAAGCAATAACTATTATTCTCTTCTTGTTCTTAAATATAAGAATTACAAGTTGTCTTAAATTTTTATAACAAATTTTCTATTTTACCTCCACTAATTACTTATTTTAATATTCAATATATTTATTATCTTATTTTTCAAACTATCATCTCTTTCAATCACACATCCTCTCTCTTTAATAATTCTCTTTGTTATAGTAATTTTTTTATTATCTTTCTTATACTCACTCTACCCCATAAATTAGGATATTTTAGAGAAAGAACTTTTAATTTTTATTTATTTATTATCTTTAACTGACTTTTTGATCTATGTGATGGAGTCCTATGTTGCTTATAAAAAGGGATGGAGGCAGTATTTGATTAAGATTATTAAAATCTCAAATTTCAACAACAACACAAAAAACAAATACATCTTTCAGTCAAGCCTATCAAAGTATTTTAAAGAGTGAGTAAATTGATCGGAACATGACTGTCTCCGGGAAAGTTCATATGGAAAATGAACAAATAATAAGAATATGGAGTATTAAATACAATAAGATTAATCAATAATTAATGAGGTAAATAATAAAAATGGTATTAAAATTTTTACATAAGCACTATTAGTATTTCTTACAAATAGTTGTCTAAAAACATTTTTATATATAGGAGAAGGAAACGTCAATTGATTGAGTTGTGCATGTGTAACACTGCCACTAATAGGCAGGAAGACATTTAATTGAGGCTTCATTTTGTTATCAAAAAAAGAAGATAAGGAATGCTGCAACTATATATTATATTCAAGTGGACACAATTATTTGCTTTGTCTTTTCTTCTGTGCAAGGGCAATGAATCCTGTTCCTTATTATATGGTTTTCTTCTTTTTACTTACCTTTTTATAAGTAAGAGTATATTTAAAAAAGTATATTTTTTTTTATATATCTATTACTTTTAACTAATATTAACAAATTTTTGAGTTAAACTACATGATTCAATTATTTGGATCTTACGAAAAGGATCAAAGGTAGTATCATTTTTCAATTTTCATTTATGCCCTCTTTAATTATTAATTAGTCTCATTGCATTGGTTATTACATGTTCCTATTTGCTCATTCTTCTTTTCTTGCCATAACTAAGGGTGTTTTCGGAAATAAAGTTACATTTTTGTTTTACTTCTTTTTGTCCTAAATGTATAAATTGTATAATTAGTTTTGTTATGTATAAAAATATGTGGTAGTTTTCTTAAAACAACATCTTTGATTATTTGCATTAAAATTACCCCTTAATGTAAATAAATCCTCTTAATTTATGCAATTGATATTGATAGTTTAGAAAAAAGTTACAAATTTGAGAGTTAAGATAGATTAAGATTCTACACTGAAGGCTAAAATAAACCCCTTAAGTAGTTTTTATATTTAAAACCAAAGAGAGCTTATATTTATTGCACTCAACTTTTTTTTTTTGCCAACACATTTAATTAATTTTAATCAACTTTTTGATCTATTACTACTCTAGTTCTATTTATAAATAACTTCTAACATATTTCATTAATTTAAAAATAAAATTTAACAAATTTTCAATTTTATCTCCATTTTAATATATACACATCTAATGCATTAATGTAAAACATTTAACAAGATGACTAACAAACAGTATTAAAGAAATCTTCTTTCTCAACTGTATAAACAGGATCACTAAAAGACAATTTTCAAAATCAATTAAAACAAATAATTTGAGAGAAACAAATTCATTTGACCGTGCAACGAGCTTTAATATTATTACGTGTTATAAGAGTGTTCATAAGTTAATAGTGTTTTCCCAACACCAAATCTGTGTGCTTGACCCGTTTACAAGTTCATTTGGCAAAAAGTGGTTTTAGAGAGCATCCAGTTTTATCGATACATACAAATTCACACAAGCTACTTTTTTTTTTTTTTTGGTGACCATGAATTCACATAAACTAATTCATGTTTACACTCGAATATGACCCACAATTGGCAATATATTAAATGATAATATGTGATCTATCACATATTTATCATCTGCACACACTTTGTATTAAGCATGTGTTTGCTTCAATTACACCCCCCCAAAAAAAAAAGGACTTCTAACCAATTCAACAAATTGTTGGGATCTTTGCATGCACCGACTTTGTAAATTGAAAAATTTTCTTCCTCATTTAATTAATTGTACGAGTTGTCTTGAGGCCTAAAAAAGAATTTACGCAAAAAAATTTGGCTATTTCAAACACTCTACAATTTGATATTAACACTTTTTTAAAGGGAAAGTTGCACTTCTTCATTCTTGCAGACGTGCATAATGTTTGAAAGTATATATATATATATAGATCCTTTTGGTAGAAAGATTTTATTTTTTTTAAAAAATAAAGTAAAAATATATTGAAATTTGAGATTTAATCCATTGCTTTCAATTAAAAGGCAGGATTAATTTTGTTTCCAAATATGAGAATCGAAATTCCATGTTTGATGACTTCAGTGAATTTTTTTAAAAATTATAAGTAAAAAAGTTAAAAATTCAAGAAAAAGATAAAATACAAGAAATAAAAGTTAAATGATAAAGAGAGACACAACCCACGAATCATAATTTTTAATTTTTAGCTAATGACCTTACAGGCTGTGTAGTGAATATTGATATGGTGTTTCCTGCGCTTTTTCTTGTTTTTATTTGTACTGATTTTATTTGCGTTTTGTGTAATTCTGTTTCTCAAAAGAAGTATTACTGAGTCAAATTCAAATGTAATCAGGTCTAATAAAAAATAGTTTTATGAGTGTTTGATTTTCTTATTGGCGATTCTAATATTGTGTTTTACAGTACTTAATAAAAATGACTTTGTTTGAAATAAAAATAAAAATACAAGGATAACCGGAAAACAAGGTCCCTGGTCTTCTTACAGGAAACATCAACGGTCTCTGAAAAGAGCCTTAAAAGCATCAAGATGGATTAGGGTTTAATTGGTTTGATTGATTAATGTACGAATGGCAAAATGATGTCCAAATATATACCAGCATATTTCACACAAACCAAGAAAAACTTTGAATTTCATTAATTCTCATTTAAAATTTAATAACTTTTTAATTTTATTCCTATTTAATATACATATCTTATATAAATAAAGTCAATACAATAATAAATAAGGGGTAAAATTATACATCCATATAAAAAATTTCTTTTAGTGTCTTATAAATAAAACCAAAAAATACCTTCTATTTCTATCTTAGAAATAGAACGAGAGGATTATACGGCATTTTCATATCAAAATTCTAAATTAATATATAACTTTTTTGTTGGCCAAAAAAAAACTTTTTAATGATAAAATGATATGCTTTTGTATACTTTAAAGATAATAATGAATTAATTTAATTTTCATAACCAAACATAATGAGCATAAAAATGCCCTTTTATCTAATTCCCTTATAGATCGATTGATAAAGAATTTATACACATATCTGATTATATTGACTCAGTCAACACGTAAACATAAACTTAGCCAAAAAAATCATTAAAAATTTAAATATAGTAATGAAAGATATGTTATTGCTAATTCAATCACTGGACCCCTGTTCCGGACTTTTTGAGATATAATAATTTTGTTCTAATTTGTGGTTTCCTTTCCCTTCTCAGCTAATTTCTTGGCACTTTCATGCCTCTTTTGGTCGGTTTTGTTTTTGTGGAAGCAAGAATATAAAATGGGAGTAGATATGCTTTTGTTGCTTTTTTTGACATTCCATTTCCTTCACTTCGAAATGACCATCCATACCTCCTTCCTTTTTTTTGGAGATATCCAATCTTCTTTTCAAGAATTATATCAATTCAACCGAATACAAACCCTTTTTAAACCAGAACGAACTTAACTGGACAGGGATTCGACTAATAGACTAAACGTAGAGATCTGGAAGGAGGCAAGAAATCATGTGACGACTAAATTAGCCCATCCTCGTACGACGTTGGAATAATCTCCTCTATTATATAAATTAACGACATGGTATGTTCGAACAATGACATTTGATCTATCGAAGATGAGGAACCTCGAGTTTTATTACTCTCTCATTCTTCTTCTGTTCATAATTCATTCACCCTGCTCTACATCCACAAATACTCCTCTTGATAGTTATTTCATTGCTTGCGGTTCTTCCAATAGCATTACTCATCTTCATCGTACCTTTGTTCCTGATTCTCAACAACCCTCTGTTACATTTGATTCTGAACATTCTGATGTTATTAATTCTTCTAGAACTTTCTCCCCGATTTACCAATCTGCTAGAACTTTCTCAACCTCAGCTTCTTACAACTTCGACATGAACCACAAAGGCTGGCATTTCGTCCGATTCTACTTTCATCCTCTTTCCAAAACATTGGCTTCAGCCTCGTTCAGTGTTGTCACTGGAAGCTATGTCCTCCTTGATCGCTTTAGCTTTAACACTTCTAAACACAATAGTGCTTACTTGTTCAAGGAGTTTGTGATTGATGTCAATACTGACATTTTAATCCTCACTTTCGTTCCTTTTAGAGACTCCGATGTTGCATTTGCGAATGCCATTGAGGTTGTTTCTGTCCCAGATAAGATATTCTCTTTTGGTCACACCTTATCTTTTCCAAAATTGAAAGATACTGCTCTTGAAACCATGTATCGCTTGAACATGGGAGGCCACTCTCTAGTCCCTTCCCAAAACAGCACTCTTTTCAGAGTTTGGGAAGAGGACGATAAGTATCTCCAGCCTAACCCTTTAGCTTCAAATATGTCAGTGAATCCATTCTCCATAAAGTCTTCATCCAACGACTTCGTGTCTTCCGAGGTAGCACCTACAGGTGTTTATGCCACCGCAAAAGCCTTGAAAAACATTTTGAGCAAGTCCAATTTGACATGGGTCTTCCCAGTCAGTCCAAATTTCAAATACATACTGAGGATGCATTTCTGCGATATAATTAGCAAGTCCAGAAACAGCTTTCTTTTCAATGTGTACGTAAAGTCCGAGGTTGTGATGAAAAATCTGAATCTATCAGCCTTTACCTATGATGTTGGTGTTCCATACGTCATCGACTATGTCACCAATAATACTTCTGAAGAAGATTCAGATAAATTGAGTGTGACTGTGGAAGCTGGTGGCCTTGAGCAGGGCCGTAATGCTATCTTGAACGGGCTAGAGATTCTGAAAATGAGCAACGACGTTAGAAACTTGGATGGGCTTTCCTCAGTTGACGATATATTTTCTAAGTCAGATCGGAACATTCCAAGAGTAGCATTAATCATTTCGAGCTGTGGCATGGCTGCTTTGCTTTTCTTCGCATGTGTTATTTATTACTTTTATGGTCGCATAAGAGCTGGCAAGTCCAACATCACTCTTTCAAATAAAGAAGGAAGACTCAGAATATTCACGTTCGAGGAGATTCAAAAAGCAACCAACAATTTCGATAAGAGCTATCATGTCGGCAATGGTGGGTTTGGGAAGGTGTTCATGGGACAGCTCCAAGACGGTACGATGATTGCGACGAAGAAAGCAAATCCTCAGTCCAATCAAGGCATTGCCGAGTTTCAGAACGAGATCAAATTCTTATCGAAACTTCGTCACCAAAATCTCGTCTCTCTTCTTGGATATTGCTACGAGGACAACCAAATGGTTCTGGTTTATGCCTACATGGTAAACGGATCTCTGGACAACCTTCTGTACGGGAAAAACGTCGTCGTCCCGCTCTCATGGAAGCAAAGGCTTGAAATCTGCATAGGAGCAGCCACTGGGCTTCATTATCTTCACACAGGTACGGGTGGTTGTCAAAGCATAATACACAGAGACGTGAAGGCGGCGAATATTCTGTTGGATGAGAATTTGGTGGCCAAAGTTTCAGACTTTGGGATCTCACGGAGTGGCCCATCTTCAGATAAGTCCCATGTGACCACTGTTGTGAAGGGAAGCTTCGGTTATTTAGATCCTGAGTACTTCAGAACGCAGCGTTTAACAGAGAAATCAGATGTGTACTCATTCGGGATTGTGCTTTTGGAAGTTCTATGTGGGAGGCCTGCTCTGAATCGTGCCCTACCTGTCGAAGCAAAGAATCTGGCAAACTGGGCTCTGAGAAAAGTTGAAAATGATGAATCATCACTGGAAGAGATAATAGACGCGAGTCTAATTGGTGACGCGAAACATGAATCTGTGAAGAAGGTTTGGGAAGTGGCTAAGATGTGTTTGGAAGGAAAAAGGATCAAGAGGCCAACGATGGGATACGTCATGTCTGGTTTACAGGATGCTCTCCACCTTCATCTCAATACAGAAGCCCTAGCTAGCTACTGACGAAGAAATTATGTAATTCAATCCCATCTTCAGTCAGTTTTTTAAGTGTTGCGTTTCTTGTCTTGGTCAGAGAAGTTAGAAGGTAATAACCTCGCTCTTGCTGGTTTTTTTTTTTTTTTTGGGGACATCAACCCTAGCTTGGTGCTGGTTGTGTCTTCAAATTAACAATAATCAACCATGTGTGAGTGTTTAGTTTGATCATGATGTAAGTTGTTGGGTTGTGATTTGTCCAGTTCATCTGATTAAGTCTCTGTTATGTTCTAATCCTTGGCATGTTTGGAAGATGTTGTTTAGTTTGATGTAGTTGTGTTGTGATTTGCTCAGTTTCATCTGATCAAGACTCTGTTATACATGTCCTAATCCATTGAATTTTTGCAAAGATAGATATATGGGGTATATATGATCGATTGTGCTTATATCGGATTTTCTACCCGAGAAGGAAACCCAAATTAAACAACGATGACACACGCACATTTTAATTATGCGTGATTAAAAAAAAATTATATAGATGCTTATGTTGGGTTTTGTTGTTTGTGTGTCGGAACTTAATTCTGTATTGATGTGATTATTGTTTATTTATTTTTATGATAAATAATAAATAATTAGTTTGCGCTTTCCAGTTTGTTATGTTTTGAAGAGATTATTCCTGTGAATTACGCAAGTACTCCAGATTAAGGCTGATTCCAATAAGATAAAACTGCTTATTTTTTATTCACGCATGTTTAAATCGAGATTTGTATTAATTAAAAGAAAAATCGAGACCTCGGGCAATATCAACAATGTCTCCCATTATTCGATTTTGTATTGTATTATTTTACACAGTTTTCCCCATGCCAATGAATAATTAGGGCATAGGCAACAAATACGGTGTGCCTTCTCTGAATTTAATCTAAAAAGTGTTAATTTAAAAAGGGAAAATAGCAAAATAAAACCGCTAAAATAAAAAATTGCAAATAGAGACCCGTTACAACATTAGTATGGGTTTTGACAATAATTTTGTAAATAGATCCTTCTGTACTATTTTTTGATTTTGGCGGTCTTTCTTACAATTTTTTCATTTAAAAATGACAATCTAATTTGTTTTTCATCTTCCTAACACATTGTGTCTTGTATATGTTGGAATTTATATGTTGATATGCGTATAATGGATCTCTCATTTTTTATTATAATTTTTGTCAGAATATACACATTAAATAAATTAAAACTATTTTTTATTCCTCAAAAATTAAAAGAGGAGGCAAATCATCCTCTCTCTCTCTCTGTCTATATGTGTGTGTGTGCGCGCGCGCTTGCTTTCCAACCAAGGAAAAGCAATGAATCACAGGCCACGGAGGATGGGGTTAAAAATACTTTTCGAGGGACAAGGTTTGCAGAGGATTGGTTGATATATTGTATAGGAAATGGAAAGATAAGCAAGTAATTAAAAGCTTTCTCCATCCTAAAATATAAATCATATATGATATTAAAAAAAAAAACCAAATCATGAAGGTGCCAAAAATTTATGTATTACTACTATATACATACAAATTGGTGTTGGCTCAGAAGCATGCTCTCATCCTAATAAGTTTTTAGTATCCAACTTATCTAAACTTTTTTGTTATAAAGAAATTTTTTTTTTTCATTTTTATCCTCTATTTATGTTAATTTTGGAATATAAGTCTAAAAAATTTGTTTTAGGACTTGCGTTCTTATATTCTTTAAGACGGATGAAGGAAGTAATGGAAAAAAACTGTGAAAAAGCAGAAGAGAGCACATTTTCTACAAGACAAGGACTAATTAATTGGAGAGGGAAAGAATTGGTGGGTGTGAGGAAATGGAAAGAGAATGATGTAAACAAGAAACGAAGTATGAAGAGAGGATATTTGGAAAGGATTGGGCAATGGTAAAAGAAAGAAGTAATTGATGAAGAGAGAAACTAGGGGAAAATTAAGTAAAAAAATCACTTGTCTTTGTGGCCCAATGGCATTAAAGTTTTCTTCTAAGTAAGAGGTTGCCGAGGTTCAATCCGCTTGTAATTTTTGACTGTTAATACCGTCTCTTTAAATAAAAAATAACTCTTCAAAAAATATTTAAGAGGATAAGAGGAGGAACTGAACAATCCATGAGAATGAAGTATAGATGGAGAGGATGAATATAAAAAACCTTCCCACTCTTCAACTAATTTTATTTAAAAATAGCTTCCAGGTCAAAATTTTAATTTCAAAAACATTTAATAATTTCTTTGATAGCTGGCACAAGAAATATGGTTTATGTAAATAGACACACATATGTATAATGTATATATGCGCAGAAATACACAAGAGGCGTACATAATTAAGGAGGGTTGAGTTTAACCAAAAAAAAAAGAGTTAATCTTTCACAATATGATGAATCAATATTTGAATTCCCGTTAAAAGATATATTCACATTTAATACCAAATAATGCCTTAAATTATATTGTCTCTAATAAGAGGATACTTATACATAACAACAAAAAAGAAGGCACATACACTAAAATACATACAAACTTATGTGCATGCGTGTGTGAGACTTGTTACTAGAAACTGATAGGCTCCCAAGTTAAGGGGTATTTGAGTAACTCCAAAAGTACTTTTGAAAAGCATTCTTCGCAAATCAAAACAAATTCCTTTACATATTTACTTCATATACTATAAAGTACTTTTAAAATCATGGTTTTACTTTTACCCAAATATCTCCTATGACAAGTATGGAATGAGTAAGGGCAATTGATTAATTATATTCCAAACGCATTGAGTTGTCTTCTTTTCTTCCATGGAAGTGGAGTTCGTTGACAGCTTTCACACTCCAGATCCTACATATATTGCGAAAATTAAAATTTTGGCCCCCACACTTTCAATTCAATAATTTTGAAGCATATCCTTATACTTCAAAATTCAAATTTGCTCTTAGAATCGTTAGTGCCTACATATTTAAGTCCCTAATAAATATAATGGCGTGCATCGTTACTCTTAGAACTATGGATCTTATAAGATGCTGATTAATTAGGTTGTTGAGTGGATTAACATGAAACCACCTTTTTTCACTAGCACCCGCTTAATTTGCAGCCATATCAACGCTCCGTGGTGGTACATAATTTGCCCCTGTTTTATACTCCCTTTAGTTCTAAATATAAAAACTTAATAACTAATTTATATTAAAAACATTAGTTAAGTTAATTATTTATTAAAAAATAAGTATTGAATTCTCTAAGATGCTTTCTTTAGCAATAGAAACTACCCCTATAGAAACTTACCTTTAGCATATATACTATTAATAGGAATATTTTGGATAAAATGATATAATTTTAGAAGACAAAGTGGATTAAAATTTTATATTTATGATAATAAAAACTAATTTTTTAACTAGCTCTCATATTTAAGACTAGAAAGAATACCAAATAACATAGATTCAATGCAGAAGAGGGACTAAATTTCGACTTTAAAAAATGTAGGAGCTAATGGCTCTAACCCTGTGAAGAAGTGTAGGTTAGGGAGCAGTTTAAAAATATTACTAAGTACAAGGGGGATCTATTTCAATTTAAAGCCAAAGTGTAAGGACCACATATTCACTTTTCCCTTCAATTCTTTTATTTGTTTTTTTTTTAATAGGGTGATCAAGATTCAATGTTTCCGCCAAAAAAATGACTAGTCAATCCACCAGACATGAATTAAACTGATTTACTCATTGAAGCAATCTCAGGGTTAAGTTGACTAAAACTCTGAAAGAGACACCTAATAAGGATCCCACATCTTATTTTTATTTATTAATCTTTTCATATTTACGCATGCGTGTCAGGATGCGAGATACATCCAAAATGCATATTGTTTGATAATATAAAAATCCCATTATAGATATTGATTTCTTCTGGATATTATACATAGTGACAAAAAATAATAATGAAGCATTTACGAGTGGTTTCGTACATGCACACTGTTAATTATATGTAGCCGTCCTTTTTTGACTAAACTCTTATATTTTTATTGTATATATCTCCATCCTACAATTATGCGTATTTCAATTCCATACGTAATTCTCGAAAATATTATTTACAACAATAATAAAACGATATATAAATGCATGATTTACAAGATTCTCTCCTTCGAGTGGGAGCTTTATTTTCTTTATCTGCTACGGAAGTAATTCCCTGTAGTTATAATTAGTAACAACTAGCCAAAACATATATTAAATTGATTAAAATTAGTCATAAAAGCAATCAATGTGTAAAAAAATATAATATTTTTTAAACATACCACATTCATGAAGACGACGAGTGAGAAAGAATGAGTAGGGAAAACAAACAAGAGAGGCTATAATTAATTGGAGGTAAGAATTACCAAAAAAAAAAACAAGTGTATTGAATTTTTAAAGAAACACAATATGTTGCTAATCTATAGAACAAATTCAATGTAAGAAAGCGTTACTTGTATATAAGACTGAAGGGAGTAATTAATCACTAGCTACCGTTATCGTTATTGATATATTGTTGTGACTTTATGCATGCTCCGCCGCCTATTACGGCTGTGAGAAAGAAGAGTGGTGGCCCTTCGCCGCCGCAATACAACGGTGGTAAAGAAAGAGTGATTTATCTGTTGATGCTCATTGCGATGGGGAAATAATGAGAATTTACCAGCGGCGGATAGAGAAGAAGATAAGAGGATTGGACAAAAATGATATAAATGTGTATACTTCAAAGATAATAGTAAATTTTTTATAACCTAACAGGATAATGAGTACAAAAAAGCACATCCTATATCTAATTCTCGTAATATTGAAGGTGGATGAAAGATTTGATACACACATTAATTATTTGATGGACTCAGTCAACACATAAACATAAAGTTGGCCAAAAAAATCATTAGAATATAGTAATGAAAGCTGTCGTACAGTTAATTCAGTGCTGGACCCTTGTTCCGGACTTTTTGAGAGATATAATAATTTTGTCTTAATTTGTGGTTTCCTTTTAGCTAATTTCTTGGTACTGTTCTGCGTCGTTTGGTCCTGTTTGGTTATGTGGAACCAAGAATATTAAATGGGAGTAGCTAGATATATACTCCTCTGGCACTATTTATAGGGCAGAGAGAGAATATTTTTTTGTCTTATTTTATAAGTTATTTCATTAAATTTTTACCATGAATGTACTATATTGTCCTTCATTTATTATAATGTAGATAGTTAATTTTTTTTTGAAAGATGTATATATTAAATAGGGGTAAAGTTGGAAAATTGTTATATTTTAATGAAGAGTTAATGCAGTTTAAGGCTTCCCTTGATCTGTGTGAAACATGCTGGAAGTACCTTATAAATAGGATGAGAGGAGTATAATTGAATGGATTTTTTTATGTTCCCATTACTTTAACTTCAATTCAAAACATAATTGCCAGACATATTCAACCCTACTTCCAAGACTTATAAACTAATTCAACCAAATATAAATTTTTCAAATGGTTCTTTTCTTTCTTTTTTTTAAAAATGCTTTTGATTTTGGAGCTGGTAAGAAAACGCAGGCAGAAATCTAAAAGTTACAAGTGCAGGAAATACATAAGGGAAAATGACATTCAGGTCCCATGGAGAAGAAAATACATCAAATAAGTCCCTGGAAATGTCCTAATGAATCATAAGTCCAAAAGGGACCTCAGTGCAGTTTAATAAAATTTGAAAAGACCATATTGCCTTGGACAACAATTCCGCCAATATGCTGAAGGTAGTCTGAAACCTCCCCTGTTGCGATTCAAAATCTGATTTCTGGTTGAAAGCCTTATTGCGCGCCGAAGTCCCCCGATAGTAATCGCACGAATATGCTAAAGGTAGTCTGAAACCTCCCCTGTTGCAATTCAAAATTGTTTTCTAGTTCTAAGCTGTATTGCGCGCCGAAGCCCCCCGACAGCAATCACACGAATATGTTAAAGGTAGTCTGAAACCTCCCCTGTTGTGATTCAAAATCTGTTTTATGGTTCCAAGCCATATTGCTGCCGAAGCCCCCGACAACAATCGCACGAATATGCTGAAGGTAGTTTGAAACCTCCCCTATTGTGATTCAAAATCTGTTTTCTAGTTCCAAGCCGTATTTCGTGCCAAACCCCTATTCTATTGCACTTCAAAATCATGCTCTCACCTTCCATACTCTCATCCAAGCTCTATTGCCATTTTAATCGTATCCTATTCCGTTTCAATTTCTTTGCATGTCAGCCGTGTTTCTTCTCTCTTTTCCTTTGATTTCTGGTTGAAAGCCTCTTCTCTTGCGGTGGGTGGTGACTGTGCGATCTCGTTGAAATCATCCTCGTCGTTGGAGCTCAGAACCTTTGCAGTGAAGACCGTAACCGAAGTCTAAAAGCATCGTCGAAGTATTTGTTGTCACGGTAAGTAATGAAAAACTCCATTTTTGTGTTTGAGTTGGGTTACAGGCAGCGTTCACTTTCACAGGTTCATTGGGTGTCGCTGCATTACATTTTGTTTGGGTGAAATGAGTTATACTTGGCCTTTTATGTAGGCAGGTTTTGAAGTCTGAATCATACTTCTTGTGGTTCCTCTTGTATGCTATTCTTAACTTGTTCAAACAATTTCTTTGTGATTGTTGTTCATGAGATAAAATTTTTTTGCGGGGAATTTTTCATGTAAAAGATTATGTCACTTTAGTTTGTAGGTGTGGGTTCATCGACTTGGAAGTTGGAACTTCACGTATTGCATTCTCCTTTGCCGTCTGCCATGAAAGTAATTTCTATTTAATAGCCAATTTGTCTCCATAGTTAGCCACCCTCCTTTCGTTGAAAAAGAGGGTCTTTTAGGAGCCATAATGATTAAAAAAGATGATTACTTCAAATTGGATAACTGATTATTTGAACCTTTGTGACAGTAGTAAGACAAAACTACTTTAAAAGTGATTTGGAATCCCTTGGGTAAGAAATATATGTTTGTTTTTTGATGGCTTCATCTCTGGAACTTTGTCGTTTGGTAAGAAATATATGGTTGGTTTTTAATAAAGAAGAACATGAACGGTTGGTGTTAGTACATCAAGGCTTTTATGTAGTTTGTATATGATTTGAAACAAGAAGCAAAACAGGAAACCAGAAAAATAATTACTTGATTCAATGCTGTTTGATCCATCATTTGTTATCATGCCACATGTTCATTCTAGTGTCAGGTTATTTTTTCTTTGTTTTGTACTGCTTTTAAATCAATTTTTTTTTCTATATCTAGGAAGCTCTGCAACTCTGCGAATGTTTACTAGGAATTTAAGAAGAATTGAAGTTCAGTGCACTGGTCTTGTTTTGCAGGTTAAGAAGATGGGAAAGGATGCATAAAGAAGTAGTAATTTTTCTGGCTATGCCTTGTTTACGGAGGAATTCTATAAGAAAAGCTCAAGAAAATACAAATCACTTGAAGTAGGGAATTCAAATGTGAGGAAGGTGTGGGATAAATTATCAGAACAACAAAGAGAGGAATATAGTCAAAGAGCTAAGGATTAAAGACCTCCCACCAAGTCCAAGAAGTATATGGTTTTGTTCTATACAAGATGTATGCCAAAACAATTCATGCAAGTTTGCAACCACATCAAAGAGAGGAAGGAACTGATGAACAGGCTAAAAAAAAATAGGTTTTGACAAGTTAGTTGAAGTTTGTTGCCACACAATTCAAAGAGAATTGTGTGGAGAGTTTATGTTTGCATTTGACCTTGCAACAAAAAATATTTGCATAAGAGGGAAGAGAAGGGAAATGAGGGCAAAAGATGTGCATGAATTTTTGGGGCTACCATTTGATGGAGAAGAGATTAAAGTAGTTGTCACTAATGAAGATGAAGTGTTCCAGCAGTGGAGGATTGTGTATGGCAATATTCCACACAAGAAGATAGCATCATTGTTGACTGAGGAGAACCAAGATGAAAATTTTGAGATGCTGTTTGTCATGTATGCATTGGGAATGTTGTTATGCCCTAATGCAAGTATTTGTGTCGGTGATTATTTGTTGAAGGTAATACTATCAATAAAGGATAGATTGGATAAGTTTGATTGGTCATCTTATGTGTTGCATGAACTATATAAGGGGATTGGAGTGTACAAGAAACAGTTGAAAAAAGGCAAGTTGACTGAGAAGAAGAAGAATGTGCCAGGTTGTCTATACTTCCTAATGATAAGTGCTATAATAATTTGTATATTTCTGTTGTCATTTGATGGTCTGAATGTTGTCAATGACTACTGTTAACTTATCATTCATGTCACATGCAGTTATATTGTCTACAAAATTTTCCACTGGGAAAAACAAAAGCTGCACATGTAAAGCATGCTGTTACATATTGGGATGAAAAGAAAGTATAGCAAAGAGTTAAAGAGGAGAAGGAAAGCAATCAAGGACTCTTGCATCTGGCAAAGCAATCCACCAAATTTGATCCTGAAAATTTAACTCACCCGGTATGTGGACTTATAAGCTTAATCACTATTTTTTTTTATTTTTCTACTGTTGTTTACTATTCTGAATTTTATTTCTATAGGAGATCAAAAAGACATATACTCGATTAGTGTCTATATTGGGGGAGGAAATGATGCCCTTCAGTCAAGACTAAGGGAGGGTAGTGGCAATGAAAGTGAAGAGGAGAAAGATGAGGAAGAAGAATCTGAAGCAGAAGAGGAAAAAGTTGAGAAAGGGAGTGATTCAGAGGATGAGGAAGAAGATGACAGAAATAAAGAAGAAGAATCTGAATCACAAGATAATAGAAATGAAGAAGAAGAGCAAGAAACTCAGTTAGAAAAGGAGATGGGTGGACAAGAATTACATGACGAAGAAAAAGAGAAGGGAAATGAGGACAAAGAAGATGAAGAAGACAATAAAAGAGAAGAAGAGGATGAAGAGGACAAAGAAGTGGATGAGGCCACCCAAGGGGAAGGGAACGAACATGTGAGGAAATCAACAAGGGTGATAAGTAAGGGGAAAGCTCTTAGGTCTTCATTTCTGGAAATTAAAAGCAAGGCTGGGAAAAAGAGAACAATTGATGACGAGCAAGCTTTATTTGCCATGTGTACAGCAAGGTGTAATGAAGAGGAGCAAAAGCAGTAAGTATTATGTTTTGGTGACCAATTTTGTATTATGTTACAGAATTTACTGAATTTACTAACTTGATAATTGTTTCATTTGTGTTAGATACTTTGTATCGATGTATGGATACTTCCTAACCCGTGGTGAGTTGTAATGTCTCCAACATAGAAGATGGATAAACGACAGGGTGAGTCACACGTAGATAGTTAATATCACAATGAGTTATTTCATACTAAGGAGTTGTAATTTCTTTGTATTTGCAATTTGAGTTTATGACTATGGTGGCAAAGACATTCGTTGGAGATCAAAAGGAAAAAGACAGCCGAGTCAACCGCCATATATTTTCTGCAGATTTCATGCAGAAAATGGTGGCAAATCCTTTAAGGTGGAAATGGGAGGACCATGAAAGAGAAATATTACCTGAATATATTGGATACAATATCGGGGATTGCGATTTCATTTTTGGTCCTACTCTATTTGAAGATCATTGGTTTTGTTATGTTTTCAAGACAAAGACCATGACCTTCCATGCCCTTGACTCGTTGGTTGATAGCATCACATTCATGAGATTACAAGCCGAGGAAGAAGAAACAAAGAAGAAGGGGGATGAGCAACAACATGATGCATAGAAGAAGAAAAAGAGGACAAATAAAGGGCAGTTCGACCCCAAACAATTCATGGCAACACAAACTGTGATTAGTTATTTACAGATTTTATACTTGTCAATGACTATTATAATTGTCACTAGCAGTCTGCATAGTTGTCATTGTATGCTCTGATAGTTGCCACTAGATGTTGTGCTAGTTGTCACTGGATGCTGTGTTACTTGTCACTGGATGATATATTAGTTGTTAGTTGTCACTAGATGATCTGTTACTTGTCACTAGATGATATATTAGTTGCCACTAAATGCCCTGTTAGTTGTCACCAGATGCTCTGTTAGTTGTCACTAGATGCTCTGTTAGTTGTCACTAGATGCTGTGTTAGTTGTCACCAGATGCTCTGTTAGTTGTCACTAGATGCTGTGCTAGTTGTCACTGGACGCTCTATCCCTTGTCACTACATGCTGTGGTAGTTGTCACTGGATGCTGTGCTACTTGTCACGGGATGCTCTGTTAGTTATCACTAGATGCTGTGGTAGTTGTCATTGCATGCTCTGGTAGTTGTCACCAGATGCTCTGTCCCTTGTCACTACATGCTTTGTTAGTTGTCACTGGATGTTCTGTCCCTTGTTAGTGGATGGTGTGTTTTTTGTCACTAGATGCTCTGTCCCTTGTCACTGGATGCTCTGTCCCTTGTCATTGGATGCTCTGTGCCTTGTCACTGGATGCTCTGTGCCTTGTTACTGGATGCTGTGTTGTTAGTGATGCCTTTTCATTATGTGTGTGTGTGTGTTTTTTCCAGATAAACTGTTTTCATTCGATGCTACATGCTGTTAAGCTAGAATTGTTTGTCAATGAGGACAAAATTGACAATGAAGTGAAATGGGCTAAAGTCTATGTGCAGAATGATACGTAAGTGTAGTTGTTCTGTTCGATTGTGTAATGTTGTTTTTGTTCACAATAACAATTGCAAGGTGCTAACATATTCAATTTACTTGGTAGTGATTCATGTGGAGTTCATGTTATCTCTTAGCTACAAGAGTGGGATGGCACCGTTTAGGATGATGCAGGATATACAATGCCACGATACTCTAATGATGAACTACAAGAGTTGAAGGTTGGCTATTTGTGGTGGTTGGTTACCCATCCAAATAATGAACATGGGGGTGAAGTGATGTCGATGCTATCGGACTACAACAAAACCAAGAAGAGGAGATAGAGTAGTCGAGTAATTTTTTGTTCTCTTAGCCCATGATATGTGTTATAAGATGATTAGCAAATAGGTCATTTTGTAACAAACTGATCAAATTATGTTTATAATATTATTACCTTTGTCATCGCATATTGTAATACTGATTTGTTAGGGTTTTATTACATTTTTAATTATATTTCTATTTTATATGTGCAGAGATACTATGGTTGGTTACCTTGCGTTTAAATTAACAACCTGAGTTATTCAAAATAACAAATAATATAACAGGAGTTAATGACAAGTGATATGAGAATTTTATAACAAGTCACAATGCTCCATTGACAAGGGACAGTGTTCCAATAAACAAGTCACAGTTCTCCATTGACAAGTCATAGTGCAACCATTGACAAGGGACAGTGTTGCCATTAACAAGTCACGGTACTCCATTGACAAGTCACAATTCTCTATTGACAGCGACCATTGACAAGAGACAGTGTTCTCACAAGCAAGTCATAGTGCCTCATTAACAAGTCATAGTGCAACCATTGACAAGGGACAATGTTGGCATTAACAAGTCACAGTGGTGTATTGACAAGTCACAGTGCCCCATTGACAAGTCATAGTGCAACTATTGACAAGGGACAGTGTTGCCATTAACAAGTCACAGTACTGTATTGACAAGTCACAGTGCTCTATTGACAAGTCACTGGATAAACCATTGACAAGGGACAGTGTTGTCATTAAGAAGCCACAGTGCTCCATTGACAAGACATGATGCCCCATTGACATCTCATAGTGCGACCATTAACAAGGGACAGTATTCTCACAAACAAGTCACAGTGCTCCATTGACAAGTCACAGTGTCGTCATTGACAAGTCACAGAGCCACCATTGACAGGGGACAAGGGAGAGGTAGGTTTTTGACACTTCATTAATGATGATTATATATAACCATACAACCAAAATATAATATGACAGAGTGATTGTAAATATCATTTCATGGTAAAAAAAGGTTATGTTAATTGAATTCATATTGTTGACAACTTACATCAGCAAATTCATTGACAAGTCATAGTGCAATAATTGACAAGTCATAACAGGTCTAGCGACAATGCAGGGTGCAGGTAATGACATCTAAAATGACAGTACAATGTAACATGCCAATTTATAGCTAACTTTCATTTACACTTTCATATACATGAAACTACACCTATTTCACAACCCATCCCAAAAAAAAAACATAGGGGTTGCATGTAATAATGAAACTAACCAGTGGCGTGTATCCATTTACAAAAAATTTCCCTCACACCCATTTACAAAATATTCTCTTCACATCCATATACAAAAAATAGCTGACTTCAGTATGTTTTCAGCTGGGATTTGGGTTCTTGCATGTCTTGGTAGTGTGTCCAGGCTCTTTGCATCTTCCACAATGATAAACCTTCTTATTTTGGAACTGAGATTCTATCCTATTAATCTTTGGCCTTCCCAGAGGCCTTTTGGTTATCGGTGGATGCAAGAATGTTTGGGTCAGCATATGACTCATAGTAGGTGTATCAGGATGTGGGCAATCATGTGTTGCAATTGGCCTCAGCTATTTACATATATTTTCTCCTGTGTGGACAACTTGTAACAATCATCTACATAATCATACACACTACGGTGAACTAGTTTGATTGCAGCACAAGCATGTGGACAAGGTATTCCACTCATTTGCCATGCCAAACATGTGCATCTGTGAGAAATCAGATCAACCGCAACATAGATGATGTGTCCCTCATGTATTGTCTACACCGAAATATGGTCATCACCATAATATGTTGCCTCCATATACGCACTTTTTGCTATTTGTTCCGACAACTTTGATTCAATATTGCGTCCTACACCATTTTTCCAACTTCTCATCCCCATTTTGCTAGCAACCATCTTCTTGGCCAACTTCTCTTGATGCTTTTGTATCAAAACCGGCAAGGCGTGCTTCCTTTCTTTCAACATCCATGCATTAAAAGACTTAGCAAGATTATTGGTGATGTTATCCCATCTTTTAAAAGGAAATTTACTTTGCGTCCATCTATCCACATCCCCATGAGATTCAACCCATTGTGCCAATTAAGGACAAAACAATCTTAAATTTCCCATTGCAACATTAAACTCATTATCATGCCTTGCATATGCAATTCCATCAAGTAAATTAAGTGCATTCTCCTTGTTATTTTCTAAGGCCCGTCTCACACCTCTATTGATTTTCACATACTGCGCACTATAATTTTCTTTCACATGTCGATAGCAAAAAGCATGTCTGTCACCATCAAATACTATCATGACAGCACCGATAATAGCATTACTCTGATCTAAGACAATTGTCACTTGTGCTGATCTGGTTATCTCTTTCAGATTCTGTAGATACCAAGTCCATTCATCATTTGTTTCTCCGCTAACAATACCATATGCTAAAGGAAACAACTCATTGTCTGTATCAAATGCACAAGCTGATAATAAAGTTCCTTTGTCAGGACCACTCAAATGACATCCATCTATATAAATAATTGGTCTGCAACCTTTCACAAAGCCTTTAATTGAGCATCCATATGCAATGAATAGCCTCTCAAATCGGTTGCTATCTAAGCCTTCCCATCTTGCAACTGTGTCAGGATTAGTTTCCATTAGTCTCTCACACATCCAAGGGATTACCTTATAAGAATCTTCTACTCGACCATGTAATTCCATTAGTGCTCTCTTCCTAACCCTATATGCTTGAGTATAGTTCAATTGCACTCCATATTCTTTATACAAGTCCTTTCTAATTTCATTAGGACTCTTGTCAACATTACACCTCAAGTCATCAATCACAATTGAAGCAGCTAAATTTGACCTTCCTGAGTGAGGTACAATTAAGTTGTCCTGTACATGATGAATGTGTTCACTTTTGTACGTTCTAATAGTTAAAAACTCAGTATCTTAATGTGCTCCCATTTACTATGCACCTATATACCATGGACAACTATTAACCTTGCACTTCACAATGATCTTTTGCTGATTATTCTTAATGAAAAGGTACAAAAACTTCTGGCATAAGCTGTACTTGTATAATGTTTTTCAGAGAGTTGTGGCATTTGGAAATATTTGTCCTTCTCCAATAATCAAATCCTTCCATTTTGTGGAATTCATTTGTGGTGTAGGTGTTGGGATTATTTCAACAGCACAAGGAATTGATTGTGGCTCTCCAATCACATCAAATAAGGTAGGTGGAGACATAGACAATTCATTGACACCTCCAAATGATTGATCAATCCTGTAGAAAATGACAAGTCAGGGTGCATGCATTGACAAGTTGGTAGCAATACAGTAACAACTGACATACTAAGAAATCACAATAACAGTTTTGTTAAACTATACTTACACATCTTGCTCCTCCATTGTATTATCCCTTGTTGCTTCTATGTGGTCCTCATTTTCATTTTCTTCGACATACACATGACCACTTTCTTCATTGAACTTTATCAAATGTTCCACCCCATTATCATCTACCAACTCTACAAAAGTTTTTTTATCAAACACAACTGAGAATTTTAGAAGAAATGAGTTACTTTCTTTTCCAGCAATTGATGATATAATTTCCTTCAATTCTTCATAACTTGTTCCCTCCTTTACATTGGTTGTTCTTACACTACCTCCCACATATTTCATATTATCTTCTCCATCATTTATAAACTTTTCCCCTATGTAAACAAAGCAAAATAGATGTTTTCCAGACGTACTCGCCATCAATAACTTAAACCTGCATCAAGAAGCACACAACTGTCATTGACAACTTAAGGAGTTACATTGACAAGTGTCGCGGCACACATTGACAACAATCGCAGCCTGATTGACAACACAATCTCATTTCATGCTAAGGGTTTTTACCCTTACTAACCTTCATCTTTTTCTTCCTTTGCCACTAAACTAACATCAGAACAGAGGAAAACCACCCAAAAACAACTCAAAAATAGAGCACCCATGATCATTCTACACACCCAACTTAAATCACAACACACACCAACCAAAAACACAGCTTTTCCATTCAGTAACTTCTGAATCCTAAACAAAAAACAAAAGCTTTGAAATACCAAAGGCAAAAATGATTTTTTGATTTCCCATTCCCAAACAAATGCACAATCTGTCAAGAAAGGTAGGAGAGGAGAGAAAAGAAAGTTTCACACCTGAAGATTTGTCATATTCCTCGCATTTACAGAAGCTTCAACATCTTCTTCACCCATGAAAATCCTCGCATTTACAAAAGCTTCACCATGATAATTTTGCGCAGGAAATCCTCACCCAAATGAACTTCTCTTGTCTTTTTTTCTGATAGCAAGGGCAGGGCAAGAGAGTAATTTGTGCATTCTGAAAATTGCATCTAAGTCCCTTTGGGACTTCAAAATGATTATGAGATTTCAGGGGACCTATTTGATGTATTTTCTTTTCCATGGGACCTCAATGTCATTTTCTCAATACATAAATATATAAGCTTCTCGCTAATTCCGAATCAGTGGAATATGGATATGCTTTTAGAAGGCCAATTTTATGTTGGAATATTTTTAAAATGAAGAGATGTGTTTTTGAAAAGTCATATCCTTATATAAATTTATCAAATTAATAAATTTATATGAGGCGTTATGTCTTCATATAAATTAATAAATTTATTTGAAGGGTTATGTCTTCATATAAATTAATATATTTATATGAAGGGTTATGTAGAAAGTTAAAATATTAAATGACCCTGCATACTAAATACATTGTATTTAACAAAGGATTATGTAAGAAGTTAAAACATTAAATGAATCTACATACCAAATTCATTGTATTTATTTAAATTATGTTGGTTAATGAACCAACATATAGTTGTGACCTTTTATTTAATAAGGTTTTATTCCAAAAGATATCTCTTCAAGGCATCATTCTATGATCTATATAAACCTCCACCTTCACTTCATTTGAGAGATATACAACACAACACAACACAAACGCTAAGATCAAACTCATTACTTTTATCTTTGAGTACACGCAGAGATAGAGTCAAATTATCACTTTGTAAAAGCCATTGTTGTCTTTGCTTGAATTTGGAAGTACAATCCATATTCAAGGGTCTTCATTGTATCCTGAAGGAAATTCGTCGGTCAACCCAACTTGCCTCCTCAAAGATAGGATTAGGTGGGGGTAAATTAAGCCTAAAGGAAAGTGTTGTCCACACCTTGAAAACATCATGTACTGCTTTCTTCTTCATCTCTTCTTCTTGTACTCTTCAGAGAACCATTCCCGCCAACATTTTATACACACGCAAATCTGATATAGTCACCATACCAAAATAATCAACATGTTGTTATAATTAAGCTAACCACTACTTCGTCTCTAAAATATAAAGAAAATAACAACTGAATTAACTGTTACATAACAATCTTCCCAATAAAGAATTCAAAACTAACTGAATTGACTTTTTCCCGTAGTACAAGCATTATGAACACTGTTTAGCCCATTAAAATCCTCAAACTAGCTTGGGACTTCTTCACGGTTTCCATGTCCTCTTTAGGAAAAGTGGAACATCGTAGTGTATATATAATACCGTGTCAGTATCGATATTAACACAACATATGCCCTAGATTTTTAGATTGGAGGCCATAATGGAAGAGTATAACTAGACAAAGAGAAGAATCAATTAAGCCAAAAACTATAATTAATTATAACCATGATTTCACAGATAAAGAAGAGATGAGAAGACACTAGCAAAAGAAAATAATTGAAATTTTGTTAAAAATAATAATAATGCAAATTAGTAAGTGGATGCCATGATTAAAATGATGCGAGTCGGCGAGTTTTAATTCATTAGAGCAATATGATACGACGAGGCTCGTCCAACTACCGACTGTGCAAAACGAAGGATTTGTAATGCATACGAAACAATTAAATTATGAAGGCTGAGCTGTAATTGTAATATTAACTAATCACTGGCAAATAGAACAGTGCCCAGTGTTCATATTTGAATACGGATGAGGTGGGCAGATGAACTATAAAGAAAAAAGAGAATTAATTATTACTTATATATAGTGTTAGTATGTTAATCAATATAAAAGTTCCGCAGATTTCTATGGTTCTTTTGTAACTTTCTAATTTAGAGAAAGCGGCCGAATCACAATCACAAGTATTAATTAAAAGGAAAATGCAAACATTTTGTCGCAGGCCAGCATGCAACTTCCGACAATTCTGATCCTGATGTCCTTTGAGTGAGACTGGAATTTTGGTAATATCCCCACATTGAAACATGCTTGTCGGATAGGCACGCAAGGAGCTGAAGTTGATTTCTTCAGAATCAAGTCAAGGAATCCTCAATTACCCTTATCTCTCCCATTCTTACATTAAAAAAGTTTAGTTCAAAATTAAGTACTACCTTTGGTTCTTAATATAAGATATCAATTGACTTTTATTTTAGTCCTAAATATACAATCCCATTTTATTTTGTCTTTTATATTTATCTATTTTTTTCCAAAATAGTCCTTCTAATAATAATAGTTCTAACTAATAAACTTAATTAGTAGGGATATTTTAGAAAAACAAGATCTATTTATTACAAATAACTAACTCAACTTATTTCTTTAATTTACTCAAATTAGTCAACTAACTCTTATATTTAGAACCGGAGCTAGTATATTCTTACATTTGATAACAGGTTTTTAACATTATCCTTAAATTTATTAAATTAAGTTATTAGCCTTTCATGTTAACCTCTCCACTTTCTTGGTACATCAATGAAGGAAAAAAGACAACAAATTAAAGGACATTAGGGAAACATAAATGACTGGGACAAATGGGACATGTCCTTGTAAGTTCTTTCTGAAAAATATTCTAACATATATTAAGGACCAGGTGGTTAAAAGTTTTTTTTTTTTTTAATGTTTTGCCCGTCCCTTCATGTGCGTCGCCCATGCTTTGATACGAAAAGAATAGGATTTTGATTGAAAAATTTAAGATAATGAATTTAAGAAATTTGATGTAGTTATTTTTCATTTGGGAATGACAAGCCAGTGAGCTACATTTAATTAAACTAAGGAAAAACCGGATTATGATTAATGGGCCCATGAGATATATGAGAGCCCATTTAATTTGAGCTCAAAAAGACTCTGTTAGGATGAAAAACCCCTTCCATCGGGCCCACTTCACTTATAAACACACACACACACACACACACACTAATATAACATCCTTCTCAATGTAAAGCCCAAATATTTACAGAAGTTGCTTTTTTTGCGGGTGTCAGCTGTCCCTCGTCAGCTACGCGGATACCCCTTAATTTTAAGACTTCTTTCAAATATTTTTTTTAGTTTCTTTTTATTATTAGACTTGAATAAGGTCTACGCCTCCTGAAGTATCTCAGGAAAGGCTTTCTGGATTTTCTCCTGGAGTAAGAGGACATTTTGCAAAAAATTGTCCTAACAAGACAAAAAAGGATGTCAAGATGTTAGAACACTTGCAGACTGTTCTCATGATCAATAAAGATGAAGATGTAGAATCTGTGATCGAAGAACAAGATGCTCAGGATGAAGAAACACAATATGTTCTTCCTTATTCTGAAGATGAGGAAACTAATTCTGAATCCTTTTCTCAAGAAGATGATGATCCTCAAGGGTATTTATATTCCCTTGAACAGCCTATGCATCCACCTTCTTTTCTTGATTCCCTGGCTTCTCAGCCAGACCATAATAAAGTTACTCCCAAGCCAAATGTCAAAATTCATATTCTTCTAGGAAGATATGAAAAGCCAATTCCTGTTATTGCTTTTATTGATACTGGAGCATGCAGAACCATCATGAATCCTGATATTCTTCCCCCTGAAACATGGATCCCTTGTGATTAACTTTTCCTTACTACTGATTCAAAACCCTTCAAGATTGAATGGATCACTCGCAGGAAGATTGGTATTCAATTCTTTCCAGGATGTGTTCTATGGATGAAAGTTCTTGGTAGTGATCTTCCGGGGAAAGATATTCTTATTGGATTTTATGCTTATAATCATACTAGGAATCTTCAAGTTTTGCCTAAAGGAATTAGATATAAAAATTTCTTTAGTGCATATACTGAAGTTCCTAATCTCTTTGAGATCCAACAGGCACCACCAGGATATGAAGATATTCGAGATCATCTTATCAAATTTTGTGCTGATAGTCATCAACAATTCTCTCATCCCTTTCCATTATGGAAAAATCAAGAGTTTTTCATAAAACTCCCCTTCAAGAAAAATGAAGACATCAGTCCCACAAAAGCCTCTCATCTAGGAATGAATCCAGAAGATCTTAAGCTTGCTAAAGAGGAATGTGCTGCACTTCTCAAACAAGGCCTTATTGAACCAACAAAATCCAATTGGGCTTGCCAGGCGTTCTATGTTGAAAAAAGATCAGAAATCAAAAGAGGGAAGAAAAGGTTAGTTATTGACTATAAGCCCCTTAATATTTTCCTTCAAGATGACAAATTTCCTTTACCAAAGCCCAGTTCACTCACAGTCCATCTTAGGGATGCAAAAATATTTTCCAAGTTTGACCTCAAAGCAGGATGTTGGCAATTGGGTATCCACCCAGAAGATCGACCCAAAACTGCTTTCTGTATTCCAAATGCCCAGTACCAATGGACTGTTATGCCATTTGGGCTTAAGGTTGCCCCATCACTGTTCCAAAAGGCCATGACCAGAATCTTTGAACCTATGCTTGATAACCTCCTCATTTATATTGATGACCTTTTACTTTTCTCAAAAGATGAGGACTCCCATAAACTTTTATTGACCCAGTTCGGGGAAATAATTGAAAAATATGGGATTATGTTGTCGGCAAAGAAAGGTGAAATAGGTGTCAACAGCATAGAGTTTCTTGGAATGCATTTTGAAAATGGTCAGTATTATCCTGGACCGCACATTGCAGAAGAATTGCTCAAATTCCCAGATGATAATCTCACAACAAAGCAAATCCAACAATTTCTGGGGATTATTAATTATCTTCGGGATTTTATCCCTCATGTGTCCAATCACACCAGCCAGCTGTCTAAACTTCTCAAAAAGAATCCTCCCGCGTGGGGAACAGAGCAGACCTCAGCTGTCAAAACCCTCAAAAGAATTGTACAGCAGCCACCTCCTTTAAAGATTCCTGACAAAGGGTTACGAATCCTCCAGACTGATGCCAGTGATGACTTTTGGGGAGCTGTCTTGATTGAAGAGATAGATGGAAAAAGATTCTACTGTGGA